TATTTTTGAATTCACTTAGTATTGTTTGTTTGAATCCTCCCAATGATGCTTAGGACTGCATCCGGTCAGTCTCTTATTGGCATATGGCATGGATTCCACTGCTAGCCACTATTCATCTTTGCTTACAATGCTTGTGAATTAAGGCGATGTTGAGGCAACAAGCACAGTATGCACATATGCCAATTAGAGACTGACGAGTTGCAGTCCTAAGTATCAATGGGAAGATTCAAACCAACAATATTAAGTGAATTTAAAATTCACCCCGTTTCACAAGCAAGTGGCTATCAGAACTCAGTAGCTAAGTGGATAACGTGATGACCTTTGAAGCGAACAGTACTGGTTTCGAGTCCTAGAGTGAACATAAACTCTGAGATGCAGTTACATCCAGCGGACAAAGGCGGAATAGGACGAAACGCGCGTCCTGTATTCCACTGCTAGCCACTATCCATCTTTAGTAAGCAGAGATCTCCATCTTGGTTTATAATTTATATTTTTGTATTTCAATTAAAAGTGATTCGAATAAAAGAGTACAGTATTTCACAGAATATATTGTGTTCCATATTTCTGTCAAATAAATAGATACAAAGTCTTATTTCTATCTACTCATATCAGTTTTTTGTATTAAGAAGATTGAATAAAATTTTGACGCTATTATTGTTGAAAGTAACAATATTAATATATATTGTATCATTACTTTATAATAATAATGATCGTTTCATTGCTAGTGTCTGACTAATTACTGTCTGTACAGGGTGCTTAACCTCTTTCAACTCAGAGCCGTTAGTACAATGTTTATATATATATATATATATATATATATATATATATACCAGCATAATGATTAATCCTGCTGTTTCACAAACAATGTTCTGATGGTTTTCATAAAACAATAACATTTTGAGTCAATCAATTAAGACAATATCTTTCCTGGTCTCTTTAGTACCATCACGTTGAAAAATTGTAGTGTTTATTTTATGCTTGATGGATTTAGAGATTAAAATAAATCGATAACCAGTTTAAATTTCATAATTGATAAGAAACAATGCCTGAAAATAGCTTGATTCCTATTTTCTCACCCATATGTTTGGAATAGTGTCAAATAATTCTGGAGTAAGAATAATTATTTTAATATACGTTATCGCTAACGATGATTTTTCCTGATTAACAATAACAAATAAATTTAATATATATATTTGAAGACATTAAACTGAAAACTCCTTAGATCTAGAGATCGGTTTTATGGTCATTTTTTGTAAGTATCAACGACTCTACACTTGACTGAACTCGAAACGTTTACATCTAGTGACAAGCACTTCACTTTTTAGAAAACAGATCTGAATCCAGTGGTTCAAAATTTTGTCTTCATTTGATCGTTGATATTTTGTGCTTTCTGTCCTAGGCTACCAGTGGGATTTTGTCACTCTCAGCAGCTTTCTACTAATCAAAACTGATCACAAATACATCGTAAATGCATTTCTAATTAATTAATTTTGTAAATAGTAGTTGTTGTTTCTTTGGATGGTACATCCTTAATTGGGTCTTTCTATCATATTTTATTTTATCGAGTGGAGTTATGTCATGTTTGGTGGCATTAGTATTATGAGGGAGTATTATTGTTTATCCATTTCAATTCCACATGTTGTTACATTGTCAAGAAGAATGAAGATGTTTATGTTTCCAATCATGTCCAAATAGACTGATTTGTCCAGTTTTATTTATCTTTACTGAATAGAATTTTCAAATAGACATAATCCACCACCTTTTATCTTTAAATATTGAATACGAATACGAATACACCCTTAAATACGGTTTTACATGTAACTGAGGCAATTATTCCTCATGTATATATACTTTGTCTAGACGGTGTATATTATTAAAATATTATGAAAATGCAAGTATATATGGTCTAGACTGTTTGTAAACAATCATCATTTAATTATTTTTCTATTTATTAAAAGAAATGAGAACATATTACAAAAATACCCTAAGTGAATAGATAATAATTGTAAAGTTGGACAGCCAAACTACGAATCTACCAAATTATTAACTGAAATTACCAGGTGATATCATAACGTACAATTTATCAGCGTTTGCCGTCTTGTTGAGTGAAAAAAACGGTTACATCTTAGAGTTAGTAGCAATGTTAAAGTAAATAAAACTATGCTACCTTAATCTCCGTGTTAAAATCAAAATGTTTTACGTTCATGATTAAATCTAGTAACTGTTATTCCATGATATTGAACAATTCTTATCAGTTCAATTACATATTTACAGATGGTTGATCATCACAGTGATTAACATTTAATAAAATAAAAGATTCTTGATTGCCTTGAATAAAAGTATGAATGGATTTAGTCAATGTAAACTGATTTAATGACATCATTTTAAATTACTAAAATCTTGAAGTGTTGATTCGTGTAGTAGGCAGTTAAGTGAAGTAATTCGTTACTGTATTCAAAGAGTAAATAAATATTTAAAGATCTATGTACAACGTTGTTTGATGGACGATTAAGTTCCAAAAATGAGTGATGTACTTATGATCAGTAAATTATGTATTTCCAGGAACAATGTCGTCTCTTTAAACAAACATATTACTTTTTTAAGTTTATTTTTTAGAAGTGAAGAATATTTTTCATTTATTAAATCGGATAAAATCTGAAATGCTGTTCTACGAAAAAGAGTAAGACCATCATGAAAGATGTTTTAGATGAAAAGTCAGTGTGTTACCAATGATCAGAAATTAGTAGGAATAGATATACTGCCTTATGTCAGTGGTCGCCATCGAAATAAACGTAGAGCTTGCAGTTTTATAGTTGCATTAACAAAGTTTGATTTGAAGAGATACCTCGCGAATCAGCACAACATGCTCCCACCACTATTGGTGATGACTTTAACTGAAGACACGCCCTAACTATACATTTGACAACGTTAAATTGAAGCATCACTAAGTCATCTTATAGCTATCTAATAATAACCATCTGATCACAGTTTACGTAAAATTGTTTGTGAAGAATGGTAAAATTAGTAAACTTTATTTGTAAAAAGCGGGCATTAGATGGAGTAACATTGAAGACAAAGAGGCAGTTCAATGTTATTTTATCAAGGAACAGGACTTTTCAGCCTCGAATTCTTATCTTGACAAACTCACAACCAAACAATAACTTCATACTTTTTAGTGGCTGGCTTACAGAATAATGCCTCAAGGTCTTATTATAAATACTAATGGTCGGACCTCAGCAATAATAGAGGTGAAACAGTTATACCCATTTGACACTCGTTTATTGTCGACTAATACCACAAAAATGAATAAATGTGATAAAGCGTCTTTGAGATTTACAGATCAGTATTTTGATCCTTATTATTTGAGTTGTTTGTGCATACTGCTGAAAATCTCGTGCGAAGACAAAACAGTCGATTTCAAATTCATACCTGCTGGTATTAGCCTTATCCATCTAACTTTTTCAAACTGTACAACTAAACATAAATTTGTTTACTCATTCGATTTGCATGTATTTCACACTTTTCAGTGAAAAAATACTTGAACAACAACAAATAGACTAACAATTAAATGTATTCATATATGAGCATGATCTCAGTGAAATAAAAGAAATATGTACATTAAATCTACGTCGAAAACAATAGTAATGGGTGTGAGAACCGATATCAGTCACTGGGCACAGAAATGCAGTGATTTTGTGAATTGTCTTATACTCCAATAAATGATCTGCACTTCCCTAACTTAAAGCGACAATATATTAATATGACAAAACAGTTTATCGAAAATCAACATGATCACCCTACGATAAAACAACATGTACAACATGAAATGTGACTCTAGTGTTTCGGTATACAATCAAGCAATAATTTTACACCATCTATTGTACATAATATACAAGTTATCTAATATAGAATACAAGTTGACTATATTTACACAATAAAACGTCACCTAATAAAAACGAAATTAAATTATACATGACGATCATCCATTAATTGCAAATCATTATTAGTTCATTCTATCAAAAGTTTACTTAGTATGTACTTACAGTTATTTAATCAATAATTATCGATTATCTCAAGTTTAAAAATTGCCTCTCAAGTACACTTATCATTCGATAGAAATAAGATTATTTAAAGTGTATGATTTAATTAATTAAATGTAGAAATTGCCAGTTTACACAATGATCAAATTAAATATCGGAAAGATAATATAAACCTTGGGAAGAAATGGACGGCCAACTCGTCCTATCGTGGGACTCTTCATCAGTGCTCATTCACGATCTCGCCACGCGAGATTCGAACCCAGGACCTAACAATTTTGCGCACGAGCACTAGTAACTGGTTCCATGAGGTATTTCCTGGAGTTCTAGTGAGAAGCAGTGCCCAGTGGAGTTCAATCACATCTGTTAGAAGATATCAGCTCACTGAAGATATTGGTGAATGGTTGCTCAATTTCGTGGATTGGTTTAAGTTAGACATTAACACCGTTGGACGCCGGCTCAGTGGTCTATCGGTTAAGCGCACGCGCGAGACTGATAGTTCCTGGGTTCGCCTCTCGCGAGGCGGGATCGTGTATGCTCACTGCTGATATGCTCTACAATAGGACGAGTTGACTGTCCAGTTCTTCCAGGTTTTACATGTTGGTCTAGCTTCAACTGATCCATGATCTCAACTATATAAAATTACTAAAATCTCCACAAAACCCCCTTATGAGAAATACTACCTAATAAATTTCTTTCCAAACCTTCAGAATATTTCAAACTGATAAATATTTTCATTTGAACGTGATCGCGACGTACTATTACCACTACTGTTTAAGTTCTGCGCAATTAATGAATGTACTAATAGTTATAATAAACAGATAATTTAGTTTTTTCCATTATTCTTTGAAGATAAATAAAAAGCTGATTTCTAGTCTTTATTCCAAGAGTTTCAAACTGTATAATATACTGATAGAATTAGAAAGTTTGACCAAATAGCGTCACTTCAAAATGAACACTTACTTCGTTTTCCCATGATATTCTCGAATAGTTTTTATTCATTGTATATGAAAATATATTTGTAAGCTTTTATTCTAGTTTCCACTTTGCATCATTAAAAAGGTTACTAAAAATTCCGCATAAATATGCTTTAAGTGTTCATAAGTGATTTAGTATAATAGAAATAGTAAATGAATCCTTAGTATTATTCAAATATAAATCATTTTGTAGGTCAGCCCTTATTGGTTAATAATATTAACCAATCAAATGTTAATAATAAATAATAAATGTAGAAACGCCCCAGTTTGATTGCGGATATGTGTTTACTTATACCTTTATAAAACATACTATCTACTATTCAAATAAAACTCTACATCTTATATTGATTTTATGGTTTGATTTATTTTAACTTCGAATAGCCATAAAATGTGAACGTAATAAAATTATTAAATAAATGAACATCATAATAATTACGCAATGTCCTTAAGTGTTGTTGTAATCATTCTCAGAAAAGAAAAATGAATAGGTTTTGTATCATTATTATAGTCCATTACTCCAATTTAATGCATTGGATACTTAAAAAAGTTGAATAAAGTTTTGCATTGATTTATAAAGTTTGCCTATTTGTATATTTAATAAATTGACCAATAGTGCATAAACATAAGTTCCCACATTATGAGATACATTTCTCAGTTTTTAATCTATAATATATAGAGGATTAACAGGGTTTCATTAAACTGAACTTTTCAATTATGGTATACATGATCTAACACATGTTTAAACAGACAGCCCATGTTAAATTTAGAATAGTACAAAACAATGGTGATTATCGACGGTCGTAGATTTGAAAAACAGTCATCTTCAGAAAAATCAATTTATAGCTCGATTTTCTTTTGTGCTATTTAGTTGATAAAAATGGTAAACATTTTACTTCACGCAATATAATTATGATATACAATGTTACCTCTCGTAATACAGTGTAGTATCGGTTGTTTTGTTAAGCCCATATACTTTATTCTAGCTTCTGGCCAAGCCAATTCACCTATACATTGAGTGATATTTTGATCTTGTTAATTATTCGCTTATTAACCTTGACTATATTTTTATATGAGCGTATATGTGTACCCTTCGTATCCTATTCATCATATGTCTGTCATTCATTTTTGTCTGATTATAAATATTGAGTAATGCTTGCTCATAGCGAGTTGGCTTCCCAGCTATCTCCACTATGCATCATCTTTGCTTCGCTCGCTTACACTTGCTCATGCGCTCACAGCTTTCTGGTCTGCATCATTCATCAATAAAAATGTAGTTGCCGCTTCCTTTTGCTTTCTGATTTTACACACCGTTAAGATTGGTATAATAATGGTTATAGAAGTGAACTATTATTGACGCACGGCACTACAACATTATTTTGTTTCACGCAAATGTATCTTGCTATCTGGTGGAAATATACTGAACATTCATTATCAAATGAAGAGATATGTATGTAGCGGTGGTTAATAAGTTGAGGTAATTTGTTCTCTGCCACTAAGCTGCATGTTCGAAATCCAATTCACCTACTTTACTTTAAACAACCAAGTATGATAATTTATCATACTTGGAAAGTGTCTAGAAGTCAAGAAAAATAATCTGTACTTGTTAGCTAAGTTGATCAAAATAATTCGATCAATAAAATGCAAATAAACTCTTGAAAATTTACAAAAAATGTGTAAACCGAATTACATAAACAAAGCGTCTTACCGCATTAGATCACGTTACATAAAAGTGGTGCTATATCGTCCGTCATGGTTGTAAAAATTCTTTAGTATATAATACACATTTTTCAATACTCTTAAAAATCATAGACATTTTAAGAGTATATTTTCAAAATAAATAATAATTTTAAGTAAGAAATAAATATTTTTTTAAGGATAAATATATTTTTTATATCCCGATGAGTAGAAAATTTGTATTTCTGACGTTTCGTGACTTAATGTAAACCACATCAACTCTGAAGATCGGCTTGCATTGAGTCACGAAACGTCAGAAAAACAATTCTTCTACTCATCAGGATATAACAAAAAAATATATTTATTATTAACTCCCTATCCAATGCTTAATTTATTTGAAACTACCAAGTACAACCTTGGTACTGTTACCTAAGTAATTTTTATTATCGGTAAATATATATGCCTTTTAATAAACATTATACTTTTTTTTAAAACGCAATATTAATCATAGTCAGTAGATAAGATAAAATGAAAATGATCTATTTGAGGCTGAAGTTTCTGATATAGAACAAAGTTAACACTCATAACGTTGAATAGTCTTCGGTTATAATGTTTGATCTTCAACAGCATAAAACAGTATCTATTCAATTTCTTCGTTACCTCTACATCTTTTAAATTATTTAATTGTTACAAAGTGGCTTACACACTATTTGATCAAAGTATTCTAGAAATACAAGAAAAAGTAGCAATGTTTTCACAAACGGATTTGTAGCCCTTACAAGATGTTTACCTGATAATATGCAAACATGTATCTAAACAATTCTTGATATATAGCAAACTTGATCTTTATTTTACATGCAATTAATCACGAACGGCAAGGAAACAACAACGGTAAATGTCCATTGACATGACTATTATTATTATTATTGATATGTCTTGTAGGTTGAACGCTTTATTTGGATTCTAAGCTATTCCGATAACCCCAGGGCTAGCACTACTCAGCAACTTGAAGACCAGAGAGAAGACACGGGTTCAGAGAAAACCTTTACGGCAAGGATGATCTTTGTACAGAAAATCGTAGGTATTTATAGATGTTTTCTTAAGTTAAATCAACATCCTAATTCAGCCAATCCAATTAACGACATAAATTGCTACTGACCAATGGTAGCATGCCACGTTGGAACTCCAGAATGTTCTGTCGTACTCCGATTGGTTGGGGCTCTTTTTGAGCCTCTGGAGGCTCTGTTGGAGTTCGCTGGAAGCCGACTTAACAATTATTATTATTATCATTATTATTATATCGAATCAACATTTCAAATGCGCAACTTCAAAACATCATATATACTAAATCAGTTCACAATGAAATATCAGATTTTACAGATGTTAGATTTACTATAACACATTCTCTTAACAAGCCTTCTTTTTATAAAAAAATTTGCCAGGACTCAGTAGCTGAGTGAATAATCCGATGGCGTTTGAAGCGAACGGTACTGGTTTCGAGTTCAGAGTGAACATCAACTCTGAGACGCAGGTACATCCAACTGACGAGTCCCAAATAGGACGAAACGCGAGTTCAGGATTCCACTCAGTTTAATTTAGGAGTAAACTGTAATCAATTTAAATGGTCATTATAAATTAATATGCAAATATGACTCCATGTTTAATGTTCAATTCAAAATGAACTCAGGAAGATGCATTTAATATTTTACATATTATCCAGAAAAAAAATAAATGCATTATCATACTGGAAAGTGACTGATACTATGGAAGAGTTAGAATTGTTTTATTACTGCTGAATTTCAATTTTTATGTAAATGATTCCCGTGAACAGAAGCCTTGAAGAAACTGTAATGTATTTGTATATTCTATAACTTCGGCAGATTATGTTTACTATTAATTGGTAAATATTAATAAAAATATGACTAAATGATAATCCATTCTATGGTTTGACCAATGAGGTCAAGTAATATCCTTTTCTTTTGAAGTGAGAGTGACCTTGATGCATAATGTAAAGTATAACTTGAGAGTTATACATGAGAATAGAGTTAAAGTGTTTGAAGTAGAGGTTTCGAAGAGGTAGCCCAAACATTCAAAAATGTCGCCGAGTTCACGCGATTGAGTTACTCTACCGCTGCATAAGATGATAGTCAGGCTGTATCACGAAATAGGTATGATTGGAAATCCAATTGTGAAAAAAGTTATTTTGTAAATTCATTTAGTATTGTTTGTTTGAATCTTCCCATCGATGTTTAGGACTGCAACTGATCAGTCTCTAATTGGCATATGTGCATACTGTGCGTATTGCCTCGATATAGCCTTCATTCACAAGTATGGTAAGCAAAGACGAAACGGGCGTCCTGGATTCCACTGATAGTCACAATCCATCTTTGTTTACCATAAATTGATCTTGTGTTTGATCCATAGCTGATTCATGTGTATTCACTAATGATAGGTTGCGAACAAGGACAAAGTGATACCTAACGACATACGTCTATCAGTGTTTATTTGGTTCAAGTTAATACTGGAAGTAAAACGACAAATTGAACAGTATTCACAATTTACCACTAAGCATAATTATAAGAAAAATTTAAAGGAACTAATTCTATTCATTCCTTCTAATAAGTCAAATACTGAAACTCAATCGTTACATATTCCATCAACATCATTCATGTTGTATTTCTTTAGCTTGTAAACCTCAGTTAAATGATAATAAAAGAACTTTTTTCATATCACTGTGACATACATTAAGGAAATCACTAATCTCCATCACGACCCAATCCCTAGCTTGGAATCCGGAAAGGAAAGCGGAAAAGAGAAAGGCCAAAGAACACATTAAGCCAGGAAATAGAAGCAGATATGAAAAGGATGAATAACAACTGGAAAGGATTGCCATGGACAGAGTTGGATGGAGAATGCTGATGGGCGGCCTATGCTCCCCCACGATGGGTAACAGGTGTAAGTAAGTAAGTTCAATTATTTATTCTAAATAGTTCATTAAGATAAGATTTGTACAAATTTTGAAACTTTATTTTATTTATTTTAACATTTGCTACATAAATCATATAACAAACGATCAGCATGAAATAACACTAAAGGATTTCTTTTAATATTCGTAACTAGACTACCTAAGTCAATAAGTTTGAACTCATGTGACCTTATCTACAAGAAAAATAATCAATCTATTTCTCTTATTATCAAATACCAAAAAACATTTCGGTTCATCAGTCTTTTATTTTTTAAAAATTGATGTGAATTTTTTTATATTTTGTTACGTCAACGAATAACAGAACGCCATTCGTCGTGGTTGAGCGAAAGATAGGTAAAGATGATTAAGAGTTCTATTCCCGCTCA